AGCTCTCAGTATTGTCAGTTGGCTTACAGTATTATTTTGACGATGCTTGTATTGTGGCCAATAAAAAAGGAGGACTAATCCGTTTTACAGTTATTATAAAAATAGATTCATTTTATATTCTTCTTAACCACTTGCTTGTCATTTAGTCCTGTTATTCATGCACTTTCTTTTGTCTATTAAAAAAAATTAAAAATGAATAATAGGAATAGTAACATGATAGAAGTACAGTTGAGCCATCTTCAGCTGTATTTTCATCTGCGTCAGTCTGGGGTCATATTTTGGATATGGAAATGAGGATATTTGTGTCAATAGTGTTTGATCTTCTCCTAGAAGTGGACAAGGGTACAATGTCCATTCTCTTAGATCTATCAACAGAGTTTAATATAATGGATCTCGATGAAATTTTGTGGAAATGGATTCTTCATTGGATTCAGTTCTTCATACAAAACAAGTGCTTAAATTTAAATTGAGCTGTTGGCAATTTTCTGTCTGAAAGATTTTCCAGGATAAAATCCAGTTTCTGCTCAATCAATTTTTTTCTGATGGAAAATCTAAAAATTTGTTTTTCCATCAGGTAAATGTGTATGAAATATTTAATTTCACATCAGTTCAACCCAAATGAGAATATTTTGTTTTGTTGAATTGACCAAAAAAATTGCTTTAAATCAAGTCAGTAAAACATTAAATTACATTTCCCTATCAGCGCATTGCCTTATAGGAGTTGTGGTTCAGGTCCCCATGTGAGGTCCGTTCTGCTGAGCTCCCTGAGGGACTACATTTCCCACAATGCAATATGCTATGTGGTGAGGAGTTGTCTGGCCCATGGTGCCTGGCCTACTGGGAAGAATTGAGGCATCAGGCTACTGATCTACAACTCCTATGAGGCAATGTGCTGACGTGGAAGAACATGGCTTGATGTTGAAATGACTTGAAACTGTGCGTATTGGGTCATTTCAACAAAATAAAATGAAACATTTTGATTTTGGGAATGTCAAAAAAAGTTTTGTTTCAGTTGAAAATGTTGAAATAAAATGTTTGACATTTCCAATGTGAAATTTTTCAGAATTTCCATTTCACAAAATAATTCAAAAATGCAACTTTTTGTCCTGGTTTGAGACAAAAACATATGTTGAAACGTCAGATGGGATGGAAATTCTGAAGTTTTCTCAGCTCTAATTTTAACATGTGTTTAATATAAAAGTAGTCATATATATATATAAATAAAATATTGGGTTAGTGCACAATATTCTTCCCTCCCATTTTGAAGTATATAGGATTTGACAGCTACATTTCGAGCAGTTTTTCGGCTAGACGTCAAAGTCAGTTATATGCATTACAAGTTAACAAACTAATCAAATGTTGTATGCAGTGTTGTTGTAGCCATTTTGGTCCTGGGATATTAGAGAGACAAGGTGGTAAGATAATATCTTTTATTGGACCAACTTCTAAGCTTTAACACTTACACAGAGCTCTTTTCAGGTGACCCGATGAAAAGGGACCTGAAGAACAGCTCTGTGTAAGCTTGAAAACTTGTCTGTCTCGCCAACAAAAATATGTCCAGTAAAAGATATTACCTTACCCACATTGTTTCTGTAAAGCAAATGTTCACATTTTGGAAGGGTTGGTGCTCATCTACAAAGCCAATTGAAAGTCCCAGAAGAGGCTCAGGCTATTCTGCCAATGCATTGTGGGTATATTTAGGCTTCCTCCGCTAATCAGTTCAGATACTGATGTTGGCATCACCATAAGAGGAAACATTTCACTCAACCTGACAGCTGGTGCCAAGCTATAACAAATGTAGTGAAACAACGGAGAAGACAAATCTAACGATTGTAATACTCAAGTGTTTAGAAAGGGACAGTCACTTCCCCAGAGAGAAAATTATTGTAAACATTCAACTGCATGTGTATGAAGTTTGCTGTTCATTCACCTTGTAGTCAAAGGGGAAGTTAGTTAAGGGCCATCTCCTGCCACGCTCTCATGTGCAGAATTTCCAACATTATGAAAGCTTTGAATGAAAGTCAGTGTCAGGATCTGGCCTATTAATATGGAAGAACAAAAGATGAACCAAACTACTAGGTTTCAGAGTAGCAGCCGTGTTAGTCTGTATTTGCAAAAAGAAAAGGAGTACTTGTGGCACCTTAGAGACTAACAAATTTATTTGAGCATAAGCTTTCTTGAGTGTAGCTCACAAAAGCTTATGCTCAAATAAATTTTAGTTTCTAAGGTGCCACAGGTACTCCTTTTCTTTTTACTTGATTTTAGTAAGACACTTGGTGTGTTACAAGCACCTGTTTTCAGGGATATCATGGGATGATGCATTCTATGGAGGTCTTTGGTGAACTAAGAAATACCAGATGATTTTACAAAGTAGAGAAATACCTTCTGAAAAATGCTCCTTTGCTGATGTTAAATGCTCCCAACTACCTGCTTAGTATAGGCATTCAGGATGTATGTCTGGGCTCAGCTCAGTTTTCACTTTAGCCTTACAGTTCACCCTTAATATATTTATACTTTTCTCACATTTTGTTCTCTCTCTTTCATTTGTAACTCTGTCCAGTGTCCTACTTGAAATGATAAGTTCACAGAGTAGGATTCTGGACTCTGCTACAGCCCCTGTAGGGCTCCTGTAGAAGTGTACAGGTGCTGTGAAAGCCCCAAAGCCTGGTGGGACAGAACTGCCCTCCTCAGGTACTGCATAGAGCACTGAAACTAGAACTACGCAGACCCCCCCTTGCAAGCCTAGTTTAGAGGGTGTGCCATGGGCGGGAAGGGGACAGGAGAGGAATACTCATAGCCTATGCTACTCCGGGGATTCTTGGGTGTCCTGTATTGCAGACCAGCCCATAGGCAGCTTGAGTGGGTGGAATGAAGAGAGGATTCATAAAGTAGAACAATTTCTGGCTGCTCTACCCTACTGCAGAAGCTACGCCAGCTACACCAGATTATTATAGGCTACACCAGCTCCTGGAGAAGCCCATAATAATTAGGTAAAAAGGTAACTTAAATCCATCTTTGTCCTACTTGCCCTTGTGGAGATACAACACTGAATCCTAGTCATATGATTTAGGTCTATATTTTGTTCTCCCACATTATTAGGTGATAATCTGCCTCTGATCCACACCAAAGCTGCTGTGTAGTTAAACACCAATTCTGTGCATGAAACTATGACAAGGTAGGCCCCTAATTAAATTCCCCTAGGATCAAACATGGCTGAAGAGTATATTTGTTTGTCTGCTCTTTATGCATACTTTCCACTTGAATATTATTTGCTAGAAAAGTGCCATTAATATCCGTAGGGAACTCGGGAGGGGAATGGTAGTCTAGCACCTTTCATCCAGAAGGATCCACAAACACTGTACATATAAGAATCCACATGGAATATGGCTCTTGTTCACAGTCATTAAAAAGTGTTTCCATGCAGAATCAATACATATGTACCTGCTGTTAGGAACATAGAAATTGCCATACCCAATCTGACCAGTGGTCTATATAGTTCAGTGCCTGATACTTCAAAGGAATATGCAAAAAATCTCATAATGGTCCAGTATAGAATAATTTTTCCCCAAGGGAAGTTTTTCATATTCCCCCATAAGTTAGTAGTTGTCTTTTATGATGAAGCAGAAGCATATTCATATAAAATATGTGTTCATTCCTAACATAGCCATCATAAATGTTGAATTCTTTTTAAAATCATGCTAAGATCTTGGCCTCAGTTGAGACCCCCTTCTTTTTCTGCTATATCTTGTGTTAAATAAAATAACCAGCAATGAATATAGTATTCCTGGGAAGGGTATGCCATTGATTTGTGTAATGACATTATAATATTTTCAGTATTATTTTCTATACCATTCTAAATACATCAAAACATTTGTTCGCTTTTTTTACTGTTGCTATACACTGAGCAGAGTTTACACTGAACTATCTACACGTCACTGTAGATCTTTTCCTGACTGGTTACAGTTAAATCAAAACTGAGTAGCCTATATTAGAACAAGTATGATGAATATGAATTATTATAACTATGATTAAAGAATTGGTATTATGACCAGTCTAGTCAAGATGCTGTTTTACTTGAGTTTTGCTGTTGATTTTTTTTTTTCTTATTGTGAATCAAACTATAAAGCAAACGAGTTAACTTTTCTCTGTAGAATAATTTTTTTCAAAAGAACAGAAGTCCCCTTTCCAAAGTTATGTAGGCACTTAGGAACATAAGTCTCCCTGAAAGTCTATACAACATTGTGAGTGAAGCCAACCTCAGACAGAGTTGAAGCAGATAGATTGCCTTAGGAAAAGGGAATTGAAGGCCACATTTATGCTCCATTTCATAGTGTGGGCTATATCTTGATACAGCCACAACAACTCCCTTCAGACTCCTACAGATTATGTTATGTCTCGGTGGCAACTATATCAATTGCTTACATGGAAAGTATTTAATGTATTTGTAGCTGTCTTTTAAAGTAATTGATCAGCTGCCACTGAGGAGGAGCCAGCACTGTCTGACCAGCCATTTTCACATTGTGAGCACCTCTGATGCTGATCATTCCTTTTTTCAAAAATGCCAAACAAACCAATGTGGAACTAAAAACAAAACAAAAAAAGTAATGGAAACTGTGATTTGTTTTCATTTATTTTATTATCATACAGTGAAGACAGGTAGGTAAAAATTTATATTTAACAGTTGACCCCAGTATTTCTTTAAAACATTATTGTTTTTTCTCTCCCTAAAAAGCAGTGTGCTGTACGGTATTTGACTGGCCATATCCACAAAATCTTACTCACCCAATTCTTATTTAGACAATTAAAGTCAGAGGAAGCTTTGTGTGAATGAGGACTTACAAGATGTGGCCTAACATGTCTTCAAAATAATCCGCAGTTCTCAGCAGAAATAAGTGCTTCCTAAGTGTGTTCATTGTTCAGTTCAGGGAATAGCATATTCGTATAGGGATTCATAACTGCTTGTGAACACAGGTATTTAAAAACTTGCTGCTCTTTTACAGCTTTTGCCAACAAGACAAGTTGCCAATTACCTTCCAGTCCTGTGTGATCACTAAGGAGTGCCAGGTGTCGGAGTGGTCTGAGTGGAGCCCCTGTTCCAAAACATGTTTTGATATGACATCCCCTAAAGGAAATCGTACAAGAACACGGACCATTAAGCAGTTTCCTATTGGCAGTGAAAGTGAATGCCCAGAACTAGAAGAAACAGAGCAATGTAGCTCTCAAGGAGATGGTGTGGCGCCGTGTGTTACGTAAGTGTTAATGTGTACCCCACCCCATCAGAATGAATACCGTACTTCCAGTGGGAGAGTGCAAGACATTGAAAATGATTTGATTGACAGTACAAATAAATTTAAAAGAAAATACTAGGGTTTGGTTGATATGTGTGCATATTCAGCGATCCCACTAAAGCTAACATTTGCATTTAGTTGCAGTTGTACTGAAGTTACTTCCTACTCTAAATATAGAGAAATATCTCACTTGACTTTGTAAATGCTGACTTTGTAAATGTGAACATGTGTATACACACTGGTACACTTATGTGCACTGCTTTGAACCAGCTTTAAGGGCATAGTAAAACCAATTTATTGATTCAGTGGTTATTTTTCCCACAGATCCTTCCTTCTAGAATCCATTATTGTTTGAAGTACAGGGCACACAATCACATACCAAGTGACTTACACAGTAAGAAGCTGGTATGTATTCCTTGAGTAGCCAAACTCCTATCTGACTTCATTGGGAGTTTAGGCTGATTAAAGAAGGCAAGACTGAGCTCTAAAAGGGGAAGAGGCTAAAAGTGGTAATAAATAAATTTAGTTATGTTTAGAGTGTAGGAAGTTTGACAGCAAGCAAGTACTTTAGATTCAGGAGATTGCTTTCATCATTAGCATCTAACTGAGATTAATATTAATAGTCACAACTGTGCTTTTTCTTTATCTGCCTGAGAAGAGCTGTTGGGGAAATAGCATTTGATGTTATGCCATTTTGCATCTGTGCCTTTTGACTATGGAACATAATTTTCCTTGAAGAGGAGAAATATCATCATTCTCCATCTTCAGCAGCATCAGGAAATGATACCCTTCATATCTTCTTAAAGTACTTGTTGGGCAGAGAATCCTGTGACATTTCTTTCAATTCATAAGTCTGACTGGGGTTTTAAGTTGGAGTCACAGACCTTCTTTCTTATGCACTCGCTGATGAGAAAGCTCACAGCTTCTCTTCATTCGTCAGTACTCAGCAGGGGGGCTTGAGCACCGCAGAGAAGCCATCTTACTCTTGATGGTGAAAAAAGAACTCACTGAAATAATTTTTTTGGGGGAAAAAAAGTACAATTATAGTTTTGCCTTGGTATGCAGGAGGACCATTCATGCTTCTTATCAAAGGTAAATTGGAAGCTTTTCCTTTTTTATTCTTTCGGGGCTTATGTTTCTCAGTGTGCACATTTCTCTGATTTTTGTTCTATGTTGCTTTATTCTAGCTGTCTAGTTCTAAACAAGTGCTAAGAGTCACAAATCTGGGGATTGGCAGATCTGAGCATAAAACTCAATTTCTTTCCATGCAACATTATTATTCTTTCTTGCAGTAAAATAATAAATTCCACTGGTTAAAATTAAATAAAGATCTTCCTAAATGTAACCTTTTCAAAAATGAAATAATGAGGAAAATAGTTCCATCAGTGTAGAATATCAAATCTCATGCATACCTGTAAAATAAAGATTTTTGGGGAGCCAATCCTTCTAGATAATGAGTCAGAAATATTAGGGCACTTTGCCTTGTATAATCAAATATTACCTTGTGTGGCTTTACATGTTTTAAAGAACTAATTCACCCAATTTGCAATTACTTTGATTCAGATATGGCTGGAGAACCACAGAGTGGACAGAATGTCGTGTTGACCCTTTACTTAGCCAACAGGACAAAAGACGAGGGAATCAGACAGCTCTGTGTGGAGGTGGAATTCAAACCCGTGAGGTGTACTGTGTGCAAGCTAATGAAAATCTCCTCTCCTATTTAAATACCCTCAAGGAAAAAGAAGGTAAATTTCATTCACTTGCAATTGAATTAGTGTGAAAACTGAACACTTCAGCATGCCGGAGCTTTTTGACCTCCGTTGTCTTCTGTCACATGTGTCTTATTTTATTATAGGTTACTGTGATCTATTTTTTAAAATCTAATTTAAATGGAAATATTTAATTCCAGGAGGGATGGGTTTATTCTTTATCCTGCAAATGAATATCTTACTCTGAACTGTTTTTTCATAAGACTTCCTGAAGGCTTCCTTAACTGTAGGATGGTTTTGTGGTAAGAAACATACAAGACTGGGAGTCAGAAACTGTGGGTTCTAGTCCTGGTTCTGCCAGAGATTTTCTGTGACCTTGTGCAAGTCATTTTAACCTCTCTGTGCTTGTATAGGTTACACCTAGAAAGAGAAAAAAGTAAATGCGTGTGTAAAGTCACCATGGAAATATATATGTGAAGTGACTTTACAGGTTCAAAAAGAGCACTAAACTTGGTTTTTACTTGAAACCAGACAAAATGTGATGGTTTTGGCTGACTTTCAGGTAGAGTTCTTGTTTTCGTGTGAAACTGTAACTCAGCTTGATGCTTGTGTGGATTTGTACTCCCAAAATTGAAAAAGGGGAAAAAAAAGGTTTATATGAAGAGAATCTCTGCAAACTAAAAGAACAGGAGTACTTGTGACACCTTAGAGACTAACAAATTTATTTGAGCATAAACTTTTGTGGGCTACAGCCCACTTAATTGGATGCATAGAATGGAACATATAGTAAGAAGATATTTATACGTAGAGAGAACATGAAAAGGTGGAAGTACCCATACCAACTGTAAGAGACTAATTAATTAAGAGGAGCTATTATCAGCAGGGGGAAAAAACTTTTGAAGTGATAATCAAGATGACCCATTTTGGACAGTTGACATGAAGGTGTGAGGATACTTAACATGGGGAAATAGATTCAATTAGTGTAATGACCGAGCCATTCCCAATCTCTGTTCAAACCTAAGTTAACGGTATCTAGTTTGCATATTAATTCAAGTTCAGCAGATTCTCCTTGGAATCTGTTTTTGAAGCTTTTCTGTTGCAAAATTGCCACCTTTAAGTCTGTCACTGAGCGATTAGAGAAGTTGAAGTGTTCTCCAACTGGTTTTTGAATGTTATGATTCCTGATGTCAGGTTTATGTCCGTTTATTCTTTTGCATAGAGACTGTCCGGTTTGGCCAATGTACATGGCAGAGGGGCGTTGCTGGCACATGATGGCATATATCACATTGGTAGATGTGCAGGTGAACGAGCCCCTGCTGGCATGGCTGATGTGATTAGGTCCTATGATGGTGTCACTTGGGAGACAGACCTGTTCTTGCTTACAGACAGCCCCCCAACCTGAAGCAAATACTCACCAGCAACCACACACCATACAACAGAAACGCTAACCCAGGAACCTATCCTTGCAACAAAGCCCAATGCCAACTCTGTTCACATATCAATTCAAGTGACACCATGAAAGCGGGAGGATGATCTTGTGGTTAAGGTGTTTGGAATGGACTTGAGAGATTTGGGTTCAATTCCTGGTTTTGCCACAGACTTCATATGTGATCTTGGAAAAAGTTTCCATCTGCGGAATTCAGAGTAACAGCCGTGTTAGTCTGTATTCGCAAAAAGAAAAGAGTACTTTGTGGCACCTTAGAGACTATGCTCAAATAAATTGGTTAGTCTCTAAGGTGCCACAAGTACTCCTTTTCCATCTGCGGAATGTGAATAATAAAAATTCCATGCTTAACAGGTGTAGTGTTAATGAGTTGAATGGTTGATGTGGTGATTGGGGTCTTATAAGCACCTAGCTCTATATAGTTAACATAAAATAGTTTTCTAATGAGTTCAACTATATTATTATATGCATTTTTGAAGAACAAAACCTCAGTGAGTAATTTACATTAACATACATTATTCCCCAGCAGCAAAAAGTAACTTGAAAGGAACGATTTATCCATTGATAATTTAGAAATCCTTCAAGACAGTATATTATACTAAGTGCATTTAGCCCACAATTCTGAATACATTTATTTTTATACATTATGCAGCTCTATGGTACAAATTTACATTGCCACAAAGAAATACAGCCACACACTCCAGGAAAAGGGACATCCTTGACTTGGGCATGCATAGTTAAGCATTTAGAATAGAGGTGGCCACCTTGCAGCCTACAGAGTTCTCTAGTGGGGGGCATCTTTAATGTGGGCACTGCAGTTTGTGGAGACTACCATTCCCAGCATCCATTTTAATACATCTGCTTTTATTATGATGGAGCATTGTTTGCTGAGACTTCTGTGCTCTATCGGTTGCACCTGCATATTTATGAGGGAGGGTGTCTTCAGTCTGCTTCATTTAATACCAATTAGTTGCAGCTCCAGGGCTCTTGGCAAATTTCCTCTGGGACCAAGTTTAGGTGCCCCTGCCTTAGAAGTAAAGAGTGACAAACTCTCAGCTAAAGAGAGGCAACAATAAATTCAGCAACAGCTTACTATTCAGAATGATGATCAGGATTTTGGTTGACTGTGAAGTCTTGCTGTCTCAGGCTGGTGTGAAATCTGTCCTTATCAGAATGTGACAGGAATATGCAGAGCCCATCAGGAGGTAATCTCTATAGACCCCATAAGGCTGTTTAAAATGTAACTAGTCTTTGGATGCATAAACATGAGAACACTTTTTTCAAGAGCTCAAACTAGGGGTGAAGTGAGTTTTAGTTTAAAAAGCTCTGGGGACGTTTCCATTTTTGGAGACAGATTAAAAAGTGTTGTGTTTTTGTTTTGTTTTTTAAAGCAGCTTCTGTGCACCCTTAGAAACAGCAATTTGGCGTGATTAAACGGTGTGATTAAAACCAGGCAATGATTCAAGAACTGGAGGTGGAAAATCCCACCAACCCTTGCAGTGGGAAACCCCTTCTTACAATGTAGCTCTGTGTTCATAAACAGCTAATGCTATCTCAGTAAGGCTGTTTTGAAAACTTCCATTCTCACGTACTCATAGTGGTGTTTCCCTGTTATTTCAGAAAGTCAGTCACAGAGCACGTCGAAGTCTAGTGCTGCACCACTTCTATCAATCACTTTTGAAATAACAGGTAGGTAATTAAGGCCTTCTACCTGACATTTCAATCAAAAGTGTGCCAGGAGGCACTGTCCCCTTGGAGAACTATGTTGGCTATATATAAAAAAGTATATTTCTCTCTAAAACAGTTTCTGTTACTGAACCTGTGAGCTCTCACTTATAAGGTTCAAGATAATAAAAGAAATGAGGGCAAAATACTTATACATCAAGTACCAGACCTGAAATACAAATTGGTAGCACAGACTCAACCCAAACCTTTATCCATTTTTTTAAAAGTTCTGATAAATATCTTTCACTTCTTTTTCCCATCCTGGCCCTAAAGTGCTGGGAATTTCTTTGGTCTTCCAAAATTTCCACTTTCCTTTGCTGTTTCCAGCTAGGATTGTGAGTTTTGGTTGGACGTATTCCTGGAGCTTTCATCGCATGACATAACCTTCAATTAAAGATTCATCTTTAATTCCTGGAGACTCCAGAACAATCTTGGAGGGTTGGCAGCCCTATTTCCAGATCTGTTTGGCTGATTCAGGATATTTGTATAATTTAAGATAAGAATTTGAACTTTGGATGTTTATCAAAACCAAAACTTCTAGCCTTTTGGGGTTGATACATCCCTATAAGTCAAGTTCAGAAATGACAAGTTTACGTTTGAGCAGGAGTATCATGTGTAGCAGTTAGGACAGGGAACGGGGAAATTAAGGATTACTAGGTTCTGTTGTTCTGTCACTCATTTTCTATGTACGTTAGGCAAATCACTCAACTTCTCCTTGCCTCTCTTTACCCATCTGCAAAATTGATATAACTGTGTACCTAACCATTGAACTGAAAGGGACTACTTACATTCATAGACATACATAGGTGTGTAAGGGCTTGTCTTCCCCACTGGGGTAAGCCAACCTAAATTAAGCTACTCCAGCTATGTGAATAATGTAGCTGGAGTCGACATAGCTTAGGTCAACTTACCCCAGTGTCGTCACTGCACTGCATCGATGGGAGATGATCTTCGGTTGACTTACCTTCTCTGAGAAGACTCTGCCGTCAATTTAGTGGATTTTCACTAGACCCGCTAAATCGACACCTGCTGCATCGATTGCAGCAGCGTCGATCTCCCTGGCAATGAGGACAAGCCCTAAGTGTTTGCAGGATCAGAGTCTGAAGTAGTAGGCTTTACAGTTTGGCAATAAACTTTACCACATACATTACACAAAACTGGGAAGGAAACTCGTGATGTTATCCTTCGTCTATTTTGTTAGTGTAGCTTTTTTAAAATGCTCATTTGTTCTGCTTTTGTGAAAGTAGAGCAACTAGTGTCCTGAAAAAATGGTGAGCTCTTGCTGGGGCATGGATGTACAGACGCTCTTCCTGTGACACTCTGGCCCTGTTGCCAGAAGCGGCCCAGAGAATGCAATGAATTACCTCATCCCCAGCATCACTCTGGCTGTGACCGCATGATGGCCACTTTGGGGCCACACTGGTCAGCTGGGATTCTCTGCCAGAGGAGGAGCTGGTGCACATCCTTGGTGAATTTAGCCCACTCTTTACCAAGAGAGGTGAGTCTGTGCTTTTGTGGTGATAATTTTTAAAATGTAGCTACTCTACAGTCCTCCTGCTCATAGGCTTCTACTTTACTGTATGAAGTTCTCCAGTGACTTGTCTAGCCAGTATAGAGCTCAGTAGAGGGTTCCTGGGGTAATAGTTAATTATTTTCCAGGCACTTGCTAGTAGGTAGTATTCTTTGGGACTAGACACACTGAGTTAGCAGCCCATAAGTGGGCACAGAAAAGCACTTTGAGTTTTCTTGATTTTTATCCCACTTTAGGAGAAAGGGGAAGTTCTAGATTTTTAGAACACAGTGAGAGAGAGGTTCCTAGTTCAGCAGAGAATGATGGTGTTTTTGTGTGTGTGTTTTTGTTTGGGGTTTTTGTTTAATCTCCCAGCCCAAACTTGAAAGCCATTCCAAACCTGAACCTAATGTTCTAGTCTGGCAGGGGGAAAGTGAGAGCTTGTTAGCAAAACACATTCTGTTTTGTTCTCACATGTGTCCAAAATTTGAGCAAAATATCTGGAAAACACGCAGAGCTTGTATTATTAAGCATTGACTCAATGTTCAGTACCACTGACAGGAAACGAAAGAACCAAGCACCCTCATTCACAACCTCTACCACAAATGCATGAAAAGAAAATATGAAAGGGCAGCAATGGGAGGGGAAACATCTTTTGACTGTGAAGTTCTGTGTCCAGTAGCTGCTTCTTCTTCAAATCATCTCCAGTCAAACAGTAAGGGATCAGATGCTGAGCTCATTTACACTGGTGTAAATCTGGAGGAAAGCCACTGAAGTTAAAGGGGTTGAGATGCTAATGTTCAGGCTTGCCACAGCTCAGCAGTTTATTGTAAAGAAGATAAATAATCTTTATCATACTTGAGCACCTCTGGCTGAAATGAATCCTAGATATGTAGCTAGCAAAGTGGTTTGGGAGCTCTCTGGATGAAAAGTGATATATATAACAGAGGTCACATCATGCATGAGAAGATAATAGTAACAAAAAATCTTTTCCTGTTTTTTGTTTGTTTGCTTTTTACTTTTTGAGACTTGCTACATCGGATGGTTTTTCAACTCTCTCTCTCTGCTGAGACTTTGGCAGCACTGAAATAGGCTTTCAGATAGGCACAGGGACTTGGTGGAATTACTGGGGAAATGATGGCTGAAGAGAAATGCCTCTTTGTCATGCACAGAGATGTGTTGTGCCATTCACTGTATATTCTACACACAACATTTATTTGAGATGCATCAGAGAAGCTGGTCAAGCCCGGACAAGTTTCTTGCAGACAGTAACTGTTACTGTTGATGATTTTTTTAGCTGAAACAGTGTTTTAGGGATGAACATTGGGAATCAGAGCGATGCGAAGAACTGCTTTTTTCAATTTGCTGACAGTTTTGAAAAATAAATAGATTCAGGTTTAACCAAAATCCAAATGTTTTGGAATTTCTGGTGAATCAAAACAGGCGGGGGGCGGGGCGATGGATTTAATTTAATGTCAGAAACAATTAACCAAAAGTGATGCAAATTTACAAAATGTTTTGCTCAACCCAAATTTGCATTTTGGAGCAGAAAAGAAAACAAGTTTTTACCTAGAAATTTTTTCTACTTCCATGTGCAGAGAAATTTGACTGAGTTGAGTTGGAGTGATTGAATAAGCAGTATATTTGTACTGTGCATCATTGTAATGTGCTTTGTGCTACAGTATCGCTACAAAGGAAATAAAACCAAAGTTCGGTGGGGATAAGTTTGCTTAATTTGCTGTCATCTAAAAAGGAAATTCTGAATAATGCAGTGTAATGCACATTCTGAATCTTAAAATACAGGAAACATTTCCAAATAATTATTCTCTCCCACCACTGCAATACTTTTTTTGTCTCTCAAGCTACTTCAATAAACCTGAATGAGTAGCAGACATGGTCGTTCATAACAACTTTATACTTCATGTTACACTGAAGGATAGTAAACAAGATGGCATAAAATTGTGTTGCGTTGTACTAGTTACATATCCCTGAAGCATTTCTTGCTTTGGATACCTTATAGATGAATGACTGAAGTGGCCGATATTTTCAACAGGTCTTATATGAATAGCATACTGTACTTGATATTCTTCATGGAAGAGAAGCTGAAGTCTTTACTCAGGGCCATACCATGTCTGGTCTTTGTACAGGTGTCCAATGGGAGAGGGCTCAAAGAGCCTTCTGGCCAGACACAGTTGCAGTCCTTGCTGTTGTGGAAGCCCAGGAATGGTTTCCTCTTTATTCCTAAAGAGGAAGAAGTAATTTATAGTTCAAAATACCAGTGAAGAGGACGACTGGTGCACCGAAGGGAGTTTGCTGCACCTTATGAAGGAACATAGCAGTGGGTACCCTGCCCTTGTGCATCAAAAGGCTCTGGGAGGCATTCTTCAGAACACCTCCCTGTGCTCCTGCTGGGGCTCCACAAGGCCCACAAAGTATGGCTGTGCCTTAAAGTGACAAATGACTCTTTCTTTTACTCTGCCTTTACTTATGCAAGCTCCCAATGAATTCAAGGGTAGTTTGAGTAAGAGCTGTGTAAGGACCTCAAGGTTCAAGATAAAGGTTACAAATAAGTGGCGATGACTTGCTAACTCCGGTTTATTAAATACTATCCAGTAAAGTTAAAATTACTTGCAAATTATGTCTGTTTACATTTATTTTTCTGCTACAAGTTATACACTTTATGCAGATGATCATGCACATTAGGAACAGACTTGAGGCTTCTGGAAAATTGCCAATGCAGCCTTCAGTGTCATAAGGTTTAGGCCCCACCATAGCACCATAGCATAGTTAGAATACTTCTTTCCAGCGTTGTCATCTTGTGTTAGAAAATGGGAGTTCTGGAGTATGTTTAACAGGTATTTGCCCTCTCTGCACTGCAGCTTTGCTTCATGGGAAGGACGGAAAGGACAGTTCCACAGGATGCCGCCTTCTCATTCCCTCCCTCTCAAAATGTAGCTTCCAGTTGCCCACTAGTGGACCTGTGGCTAAAGGGATGTACATTACCTGAAGGGCCAGGCAGGCAGAAGCAGGTGCATGCAACACACGTACATGTGAATAAGGGACTCCACTACCTTAACAACAGCATGCAGCTTATTCATCTAGCCTCTGTTGTTGTTGCTGTGTTACTGTGATCCTCAAGAGCCTGATTCTGTCACCCGTACTCCCTCTGAGTAGTATCTTGCTCCACAGATAGTTGTAATCAGTGGGATTATATGCAGCATAAGGTACTCCTTAAGGTGAGTAACAGTGGCAGAACAGAGTTCTAATTAATTAAACTCTTGTTTTGAGAGCACAGTTCTGAGGATCAGTCATGATGTTTAACTTTGGGGAATCACATCTTTTTAGTCAATTGGACAGAGGTCATCTGAATGGCTGATCTATATTCTGTGCTTAGTTTTAAGTATTTTGTGAGGAGCTGAATTATGAAAGATCTTATGAAAGAAAAGTGGATTGCAATAAAGTAATGCATTTGTTGGTTGGAGACAGATGCATACATATATCCAGCATGCTAGGAGAGGTCTCCCATTGTGCCTACGTGCTGGGAGGACAGTGAAGGCTGCATCCTGGCTCTCAGTGTAGGAGAACAGGGTGGTTCTGCTCTCTTATGGGTGTTCCCTGGTCCACAAGAAACAGGGTTTCTGCCTGCTCACATACCTTCCGTGTGGACTGATTACACACTGCTGGAAGTAATATATTAAAACAATTATACCTATGTACTAGATTTAAAAGCTGTGCACAGAATACATGTTAAATACAGTTTTCCTTAAAACAACTAAAGCTGCCACTGCACAACTTCTATAGGCGGGTGGTTTTCTGTGAGTATGGAAGGGCTTTAGAGTCAAAAGAAAGCAAATAGACTCTGTCATCATTATATTTCAGTGATTTAAAATCAGTATCTCTGATTTGGTTTGCAGTTGAAGGGTTAGGATTTATGTGATTATAACTAGGCTTTGAAGTTACAATACAATAAAGTGAATGAAAATTTACACTTCTGTTGGTTCAATGGTTCAGTAAAGATGCACTTAATAAGAGAGCAAAACATTGATTTGCATGGGGGCCAATGTGAAGAACTACTGTAATAATATACTCCATTCATTAACTGCAAGAGCTAGGTCCTAGAGAATACTGCAATATTTGTGGAATCTTCCTGATTCCACATAATCTGATTTGACTCAGTCCATGCAGTGAGTTCATTAGATTTATTTTTAAGAGAGTAGTTTTACCCTTACTTCATCAGATTAAAATGTTGAGACAGAAGATTTTCTCACTGAAAAGTAGTGGTGTCAACTTGCAGCAAAGAATTATACAAGTGTTAAAAATATGTTATCTTTATTGTATACAGCTTCCAAGCCTGTGGATCGGAAACTGTGCACGGGACCTGTACCTAGCACCACCCAATTGTGCCATAACCCTTGTCCAATAGAATGTGAAGTGTCCGCTTGGTCAGCTTGGGGACCATGCACCTATGAAAGCTGTGAAGACCAGCAAGCCAAAAAGGGTATGTACACATTTTAAATTTCTCCTTTTCAAAAAACATTTTTATTTTACTTAGTTTTTACACGATACTTGAAAAAAAATATTTCCAAGACTCTAGGGATCTTTGACAATACTGACATATTCATACTTATATCAGAAAGAGAGAGCGCACAACAGACTCCAAAAATCAGAAAATAACCAGCCAAAAAAAACCCCAAACAAACCCACCCATAAGTACCACCTCTCAGCATTCTCCTTCCTCCCCAAAGGCCTTGGTGAAGAGATGGACTTTCTAGTTCTGTAGGTCAACAGATCTGGGCTATTTCAGGACAATTACAAAGTTGAGTACCTCCTCTTAAATTGAGGGGGATCCAGCATGAATCTCTCTCCAGATCACAGTTGTGGCTGTGTCACATAACAAGAGAACAGCAGTCTCTGAAGTAGGAATGTCTCAAGCCATTCAGGGAATTACAAGTCAAGATCACCTTAAAAAATGACCAGTAGACCATTAGGCCACCGGTTCAAATCTTAGAGCAGAAGCTTCATTTGCAGAGTACCCTTCAGACCCTGCTTAACTGGCAGGCTGATGTATTCTGTGCCCATTTCAGTTTCCAAGGGTATTTAAAGTGTAGACCATTCAGTGCATATTGCAGTAATCAGCTCTCCAGGTGTCAAAGGCATGAATCACAATATCAAGGTCCACATCCAAACAAGAGACTGCCACCTCCCATCCAGAGATGAGAAAAGAAATTTGAGTCGCTGTTGCTGTGTGATCATCTAACACCAGAGAGAATCCAGTTGTACCCTCTTGATTGCAAACTCTCATAACAAATGCCAGGCACACATAGTCACTTAAAGGGACAGCCCTAATCCTCATATTTTAGGGTTGTTTTCTCTCTCCAACCAGCATCACTTCAGTCTGTGCACAGATAGTGATGGTACTTCTTTATATTACTGTATCACTTAGGAGCCCTATTCACGGACCAACACCCAGTTGTGCTAGGCACTGTACAAACACAGAACAGAAAGGCGGGTACAAGCTAAACAATGCTGCCTCCTGTGTATGTGACTCAACCTTGATCATTTTTAAGGGTGACAGAACAATTCAGTTTCCGTGTCCTCTCTTTTGAGGCTAACAGTGAGATTGCCTATTATTCTTAGTGCTGCTGTTTTTGTTATTTATGTATTTTATACCATCCAAATGTTTGCGGATATGTCTGTGTTTCAGATTGATTTGGACACTTGCCTGCTAAAAATACATTGAGGCTATCAGCTCACTTTATGCCATTTTTTAACCTGAAGACATGGATATCAGGAAACTTACACTTTAATTTCCATGTATTCTAATGTATATTGTCAAAGTTTCAACACAGAGAAGATCTAAGGGGTGGTAAGATTGGCAGATGCAGACCAGGCTCTTAGCTCTGTGTAAGTGGAAGAGGTTTAATACTTCTGGAGAATGTGCAAACCTTTCCAGGGAACAGCTCCATCCCTTCCTCCCTGATAGGTACATAGGTGTTATTCAGCAGATAAATGACATCTATAGTACAATAGTTTCAGCATGAAATTGTTCCAAATAGCTGATTGTATGAACTGAGCTGCAGTCTGTTCCATAGCTCTTATTTATTGTTTTGTATAGCTACATTGTAATTATAGGGTTTACTCTTGGGACTGATAGTTAGGGTACTACTAATTTCACGGCCGTGAAAAATGTGTTATGGACCATGAAATAAGCCCTTCCCCATGAAATCTGATCTCCCCATGCTGCTGGGAGCCAGGGGCTCCTAGATGCTAGTCTGGCCAGACTGGGGAGGGACAGGAGTTGTCCTTCCCCTGCACGGATGCTCTTGGTAGGAAGATCAGACCCACCTCCATAGGCAGCACAGAAGTGAGGTTCACCCTCACTTCTGCACTGCAGCAGTCCCAGAGCTTGGTTCTGGGCTTCCGCACCCCCCCCCCTCCAAGCCCCCATGATTCCTGGCTCAGGGCTTCTTCCCGCAGCAGCTCCTGCTGGGGTTTAGGGCTTCTGCCCTTCGCAGCTGTGGTCGGGGCGTCCAGGCTCAGGACTTCTGCTCATTACTGCTCCAGCTTGGGCTCCGGAGAGCCCAGGCTTGGGGCTTCAGCCCCTCCAGCTTCTGCCAGGGCTTGGGGTGACTGGGTTGGGGCTTCTGCCCCGAGGGCTTCTTCTGGAGCTGGAGTATCCATTTTTCCAGGGGCCCCCCCAAATTGGTTGGGGGGCCCCTGCCTTAATCTGCCCTTGCTGGGGCACTCCCAGCAGCACGGGGGAGATCGTACCTACCTCCACCTCTGGGAACCTCCTCTATTTGCAGGAAGCTTGGAGGCTGCAGCACAAAAGTGAGGGTTGCAATCCTGGGATCCCCCACACACAATAACTTTGCAACCCCCCATGAACCCATTTTGGTTTGGACTCCCCACAGTTACAAAACTGTGAAATTTCATATGTAAATATCTGAAATCATGAAGCTGACTACTTTTAAAACCATCCGGCCACAAAACTGACCAGAATGCACTGTGAATTTGGAAGGGCTGTACTCATAGTGTGGAGATGCATTGCCTTGCTGCTGTTCTGAATCAGTCTTTATTGTATTCTAGATTTGGGGAACATGATACGATGGGGTTTCATCAAACTATATGTGACCATGAAATTTAGCTATGTGGGCAGGCTAGAAGGAGAGCAAAGGTTGTGTCTAAATGGTGATCTGCTTTCCCACAGCTTCTCTGCTGGAGATTGGAGTTGGTTGAGTTTATCCGTAGTGATTACTGTTGTGTAGAAAAAACCTGAAATGACTTTGTCTCCATTTTAGTAAGGGGATGGTGGTATGTGCTTTTTGGAAAATATCTGCCCCAAATCAGCTTCTCTGGCACTAGGGAATTCAGCTTCCTCTTTTTGTCTTTTGTGATGTGATTTAACTTTTCTGCTGCAATTTAGGGATGGATAGAGAAAGGCAATTTGTCCTTTTAGTCTGCTTGTTTTATTTTCAAAATCTTTGCCATATATTTTCAAATTTGGATGTGGATTGCAGTATTTCTGCCCAGTTTGTCCTGGTGTGGGTAATGCTCAAGTGGGGAAATCGGATAAAAATCTGATCTTTGACGATTCTATGCTAGGGTGAGGTTTAAAGTCAAATCTGAAGAAAAAAAAAATTCTACATAAGTCATTTTATGCTTCTCCCATCTAGCTATAGTCTCATGAGATAAACTTCTCATTTCTAGGCCTGTAATTTGCTACCCCATGTGATTTGTTTTAGTGTCTTGAATTGATCTGTAATAGCTGAATAGGTCAGCCATAGGCGTGTTACAGTCCCTTCTGTAGTAAACAGCTATACACATGAAGGTATCTCTCATATGTTCATATTTGCCTATCTTGTTTTCCTCTATGATAGTTAATTGTGTATATTAGTTCAAGCATAAGCAGCGATGTGCTGTTTAGTGCGTTCATTTCCCATATCAATATTTCTAATCAACTTTTGTCTTACTCTGTTTTCCTCTGGTTAACCCCTATGTGACTCCAACTTTCCTGCTGTTAGTGTCAGAAGCAGAGCTGCACTTAAAGATCATGATAAGGGAACTCAAGCATTGCAGATTTAGAATAACCTGGATCTTCCACTTAATCACACCCATTTCTAGTACTATTCAGTGGTCAGATGCAGGACTGTTTGCAAATTCACCCATGAATGTGACTGGGATTTCTCCTTTCCTTCCCACTGACATAAATTCACTAGGTAGCAGGAATGGATGTTTCGTTGGAGTAAGCAAAGGCACCTTGACAGTGAGATGGGAGGAATCCAGGCATTACATTGTGAACATGTAAATCCTAGGTTCCTCTTCACCAGTTCTCTTGTACTTACTACTTTCCATATGTGCTTCTTTAGGAAACACTTAGATGCTTATGCTGCTTGGATTGAAATATTTGTGCATTATAGTGTTATGAATTCATTAGTGGAAAGCAAACACTACCTTTTTCTCACCCCTTTGTCACTGTGTCACTCCTATTCCCATATTTCCCCCTTTTTTCCTCTTCACCCCTCATTCCCTCTCTTATCTATTCATATCTCCCCCTCTTCCTATTTTACAGTTTGCATCCCTTTTTTCTTCTCCTGTGTCTAATCATATATATGCCTTTGTCAGCCTTTTCCTTTCCCCTTCTCCTCTTATCTCTGCTTCTTAATTTTCCCTCCCATTATTGTCCCATCTTCCCTTCCTGTTTCTTCTCATCTCTGTCCTTCCACCCCCCGCTTCATTTTCTTCCTACCCCACTGTTCCTTCTTTGCTTTTTCCTGCTCTCTCAGCTCTCTGTCAGAGATTCTTCCTCCTCAGGCAGCTCTCGCTATTTTTACTGGACATCCTGCTAACTCAAAGCCGATTCAGTCCTTCAGAGAGGCCACATCTCCTTACCAGTGTGGTGCACTGTCAGAAGCAGGAACAGGCTCCTCAATACATATTTCAGTCATGGGCTTTCAGTAGTTAGAGAATCACCGGTTGTATTGTCAGTTGCCTCCAATGTTGTAGTAGCTGCACTTGTAGAAAACTCCTCTGAACTTCTTTTGCCAAACCAGAGGCCTCTGTTGCAGAATCTCTAAGCCTCTTTTGGACAATCATGCACAGCTGCAGAAGCAGTCTTAGAAAATATAAAGATGAACTGAAATACATTGTTTTTAAATTAATTAGTAAACAATCACGATAAATTTAAAAAAACTCTTTGTTGAACCCATATTATCTGTATGGGATTAGCATTTACAAATAAACATATTTGAAAACAGTCTCCTTCTTGATTTACATGTTGTGGAGAGTGAGGGAGTTATAGGTATTATTTTTTGATAAAGATAATATGCCCTGCGTGTTGTTATCCTGCCTGAAGGAGGACACTTGAATCAAAGTAGGCTGTAAGGGAGAAACCAACAAGAAAAGAAACAAGAAAGATAAGGTGCTATGATATAGTATACCAAGAATCCTTAAGAAATTAATTGGAAAAGCATTAACTGGGAGAATGGCTAGATGCAGCCAGTCTGGAGGCAGGGAGCACACAAAAACCCAGGATAAAAGGGAATAGTAGAAGCTTAATGAAGTTGTTCTAAAGAACTGGGAGAGCAGGTTGTTAGCAGTCTAAGGCTGACACCCAGACTGACTGAGACACACGGAGACAGAGAGACCATGCTATGAGGAGCGCAGGCTCTTGCTCGCACCCGGAGATGGGGGTTAGTTGGGCTGAGGGGAACTTACAAATGCTTGAAAGGAAAGATGTAAGGTATAGGTAAAGGGAAATGTGCATATAGGACTCTTGGTTGTTGTAACCCTTTGTTCTGCATGGTTGGTACCTTTGTGTGACACAATAAATGTTTTGTTTTGAAGAAGCTGCTTTGAGTCACTAATCAACCATTGTTGCGGGCTCCTGGAGGATTGCAGGTACCAAACTCAGTTGGGCCTACTAAATTAACACAGGCTGGGAAAAGATGTGGGGGCTGGGGGGTTAGCCAAGAGACCCAACCTAAAAAGGAGTGGTTGGACCACATGGTTCCAGTCAGAGTGAGGTGCCGGAAGCCACTAAGGGATGTACTCCAAGGGACAAAAAGGGGTCGAAAGCACAGCTAGCCCCATAACCATGACACATTCCAAGCCCTCATTTAAGTGAACTGTTTCCTACAGTTGGTGACATCTAGTATCTCAGGAATGTAATGAACACAGCTGCCTTTATTGCTTTAAATACGTTGTTGACTGTTACAGAAGAAACACAGAACCCTTCACTCACCTTTTGGCAGATACAAATGCTTTCATTTTAACTTTTATATTGAATTACTATTTTTTTATCTTTTTGGTTTTACTCTAACTTCAGGTTTTAAATTAAGGAAGCGGTCCATCACAAATGAACCTACTGGAGGGACAGGAAATTGCCCTCATCTGCTTGAAGCTATCCCATGTGAGGAGCCTTCTTGCTATGACTGGCGAATAGTGAGACTAGAAGAGTGCATACCAGACAATGAGAAGCAGTGTGGGCCTGGCACTCAAGTTCCAGAGGTGGTCTGTATCAACAGTGATGGTAAGATGTTTGCTCAACAAATGTATGGTTTAAGTCACTTGCTTGTTCTGAGGAGACAGATTCAGAGTGAAAATGTAACATTGCTTATTTCTCTCAAGTTAGTCGATCTTTGAGACAAAGCCTTTTGAGTAGTATTGATTGCTCTTTATATAGGCCACGTATGGTGTGGCCACCAACTGATGTAGCACTGGGCTCTTCTTTCCAGAGATCTTTTCAGATAAAGCTTCTTGAGTGGCCTCTTGAGAAAGGGAAGCTGAAAATAAACACTAAATGAAAAATGAACAGGAAGACAGAGAGTTATTGCCCAGTAGTATAAATTCTTCCCATCGTAACTTCATTGAATTCCCTGATGTAATTCCACTGATAAATTTTTCCCACAGAGTCCAAATGCAAATAAATATTAAGGGTGAGCAAAGTAAAGTGCATTGCCTCTGGAAATATCTGGGAGCTCAATAGTCTCTTTATATTAAAAAACAAAGTATGATGTGTGCTATGAATTTGATTTGACAGCCTGTGACATGCATCAGTCTGCCTTGCTTCGCTTGCCCTTCTAGCTATAACAACTTACAGCAGGCAAGAAGAATACCACTATTATTCAATTATCTTTTATGAAAGAAAGAAAAACATTACTTTGCATAGCATTGTCTTAACAACTCACTTTGAAAGCTAGACACCTAAAAAATATTTTAATCTACAAAAGGCTCTTTTGTGAATGTTGGGATAGTGTCCGTTCTCTATTAGTAATGTAGTCTACTCAAAGCTGCATATACGTTAAAAATAATTGTACTGGCTACAGTAGAGCGGAGACCTGTAAGTACCATATATAGGATTAACCGAGAGGTCACCTGCTAAGTGTTTAGCAGCTGCACCAAATGTTGTTTTATAATTAAACTGGGCACATGGAATTAGAGTTGATTACTTGTACAGACTCTGTATCTGGGTCTGAGCTTTGGCTCTAGATTTTGTTTCATAATTGAGTTTGGAGAAACTAAGAATTAAAGTGTAACTTTTATTTTTGTGTACATAAATAAGAGAGAATCGTGTGTTTAGTTCCTAACGGTTTTTATGTCCCAGAATGAGAGTAACAATGTAGAATGACACAAAAACATTACTTACGTCTTACCCTCCTTGCACAGCAACATTCCTTCGCCCAAGATATTCCCTTTCTGCCTTTACTTGACAATAATAGTAGAACTGTTTCAGATTTTTTGTGTGAAAAAAATTTCTGATGCAAAGTGGCCTTTTGTCAGAAACGAATATTTTTGCTTAACTATTCTGATGTTGAAGTTTTCTTTTCTTCAAACAAATTCAGTAGAATATGAAAACAAAAAGAAAGTAGCCTGGTTTTAATTTTACTGGATTTTAGGTTGGTTTGTTTTTCTTTTCTTTTCTTTGTGGGGAGAGGGTAGAGTTTGTTTGCAACTCTATAACTTTTGATCAGTTAATATGTCGTTAAATAGTGTAACTTTTCCTATCCCCTAACTGGATGATTGTAACTGTAATATATTTGGGAGCAAGTAATTGAGTCACTTAACCTTAACCTTTTACAGAGAAGGCAGTTCTGCTCTGTTTGACCTTGATCCAAAGGCCACTGACGTCAATGGGTGTCCTTCTACTGGCTTGAATGAGCTTTGGATCAGGCCCTTTGTGAGGGACTTAGGACAGAATTTAAGTTGGGAGGGTTTGGGGTTATTTTTTTTTCCCGATATTAACCCTGTTGTTTTTCTCTGAATCTTTCTAAATTCTTGCTGATCAGCTTAGTTTGTTGCTAAATAGTGTACACCTATAGTTTGTGATGTGAGTGCATTTGTCTTATTACCAGCGAGTAGTCTGACTTCTGTGTTGGTCTCTGTGATAGAGGCTGGATAGTGGGCACAGTCACTGCTTCTGAGTGAGGGGAATGGTGATTACTCATTACTGTAGTTGTGTGTGTCCCAAAGAGAGATATAAATTGTATATTTCATGAAGTGAAGAGGAAGCATTGGCAGAAGAAGCTTTTGGGGTCCTTCTTGGCTGTCACAGGGTAATGTTTGCCAGCTGTGCAATACAGCTTTGTGAAAGCATGTTATCACTAAATAATAATGTAATGGGCCATGGGATCAGGTCCAGCAAATGTGTGTATGTTTTGAGGCCCATTGCAAGCTTTACAATAAGTGCAACAGAATGCGTGTTAGTGCTCATTTCAACCACATTCAGGTTTGCCAGAGTACAGACAGTATGTGTCCAGCTGAGAATGCTTCTACAGATAAGCAGTGGTGGCTGCTTCTTCCAGTAGATGTGGGTGTTCCACAGAAACAGTCAGATGCACAAAGTCAAACATATTCCATGTCAGAAGAGGAGGAGGAATTTCTATGAGGGATACTTGACTATAGCAGGTCAATACCGGCCAGCTGCTGGAAATGGTCTAAGATGGCATGATGTCACTAAATAAATGTAAATGTAGTGTTATAACGACAGCCTATGTTCATTCAAACTCTTTTTTTCAATTTTTTTTTAAAAACCTATAAATAAGTCTCAGTACACAAGAGAGATTATTAAATCATCTAGTTACTTCATTTTACTACATTATTCACCACCTTCCCCTCCCAGAAGTTTCCTCCTCAAAAGAGGAAGAAAAGGAGGTGGTGGAGGAACAGGTCTCCTTCTTTCTACTGTCCTCATGATCAATAAGATCTGCTTCCTGTATGAGGCTCAGTGACGGGGCTGATGCTGTAGAAGAGAATCCTGGAGAATCCAGAGGAGAAAGGGTGGCCCTACATCTTGCTATCCATTGGAAGGACTCCTGGTCCCTGGTAACCAGGTTCTTCTCCTACTTGGCCACCACTCTGTGTTTCTCTGTCACTGCCGTCTTCCTCTCCTTCAAGGCCACTTTCAGCTGCTCAATGGCCATCCTCTCCTCCTGACAGGCCTGCTCACCTTCTCTGAGGTGAGCTCCTCCATGATGCAGATACAGGTGTGGTTGAGGAATCAGGAGGTGGATGCAGTAGCTGCTACTCCTCTTGTTTATCGGGAGGGACCTGAGCCAGAGCTGGGGAACTTTAAACTTGGCACTGTTGCTGAGGGTGCCTCCACAGGAGCCATTTCCCTGCATCATCACCTGCAGGGGTGGCAGGTAACAATATGTGGCTTCCCCAGAACTTTGCATACTGTTTACAAGTTAATTCCTCCAGCTCCGCTCCTCCTGCACTTCTGTTATTGCTGCTCCTTCTCCTTTGGTAGTGGCAGTTCTCTCCTGCTCCACGTACCCCATTTCTTCTGTAGATCCAAGGAGTGCTTACATGTGCAATCCCCATCTCCGCTGGTAATATCTGGTTTTAGCAAATGTTTCTACCCTTTTTTTGCTCCTTCTCCTTTGGAACTGGCAATTATCTCCTGCTCCACGTATCCCCTTTCTTCTGTAGATCCAAGGAGTGCTTACATGTGCAATCTCCATCTCCACTGGTAATATTTTGTTTTAGCAAATGTTTCTACCCTTTTTTTCCTTCTTCCTCTTTCTGTCTTTCTCACCCTGTCTAACCAGTCCACCAAGCAGACAAAATTATGAGAACCCTTATTTTCTTAATATTTTGTTTCTGAAAATGAAAACTCTTTCTTCAAAGTCAAAAAGTTTATTTTTCAAAAAAAGGATTAAAATAGTCCACTTAAAATTTGGAAAATATTAGAAATATGACTTGTAGTACATCTGAAATAGGCCCCAGAAAGTTAATGGATATTTCCAACAGTTCTAATTAACACCCATAGTGGCACCCAAGTTTACACACATTTTACACTGTATGCAATCTTTAGCACCAGGAAAGATGGCAACCAGGAGTTAAAACCTAGAGCGAAGCCTCACATTTCCATAGTGAGAATTTTTCTCCTCAAGTTCTGCTGCTTGTAAGAAAGCATAGGGCTAGCCAGGAAATTGCAGCTGTGCCACCAATGGTGAAGAGATCCAAGCCATCGTTTGCACTGCATGTCTTTAAGAGCAGCCCTGATGGAAAGCTTACCATAAGAACGGCTATACTGGGTCAGACCAAAGGTCCATCTAGCGCAGTATCCTGTCTTCTGACAGGGGCCAATGTCAGGTGCCCTAGAGGGAATGAACAGAACAGGTAATCATTAAGTGATCCATCCCCTGTTGCCCATTCCCAGCTTCTGGCAAACAGAGGCTAGGGACACCATTCCTACCCATCCTGGCTAATAGCTATTGATGGACATATCCTACATAAACTTATCTAGTTCTTTTTTGAACCCTGTTAGTGTCTTGGCCTTCACAACATCCTCTGGCAAGGTGTTCTACAGGTTGACTGTGCATTGTGTGAAGAAATACTTTTGTTTGTTTTAAACCTGCTGCCTATTAATTTCATTTGGTAAGCCCCAGTTCTTGTGTTATGAGAAGGAGTAAATAACACTTCTTTATTTACTTTCTCCACACCAGTCATGATTTTATAGACCTCAATCATATCTCCTCTTAGCCATCTCTTTTCCAAGCTGAAAAGTCCCAGTCTTATTAAACTCTCCTCATACAGAAGCTGTTCCATCCCCCTAATCATTTTGATGCCAATTTTTGTACCTTTTCCACTTAACAATATATCCTTTTTGAGATGGGGCAGCCACATCTGCATGGAATATTCAAGATGTAGGCATACCATGGATTTATACAGAGGCAATATGTTTTCTGTCTTATTATCTATCCCTTTCCTAATGATTCCCAACATTTTGTTAGCTTTTTTGACTGCCGCTGCACATTGAAAGAATGTTTTCAGAGGACTATCCACAATGACTCTAAGAACTTTTCTTGAATGGTAACAGCTAATTTAGAACCCATCATTTTATATGTATAGTTGGGATTATGTTTTTCAATGTGCATTTCTTTGCATTTATCAACACTGAATTTCATCTGCCCAGTTTTGTGAAATCCCTTTGTAACTCTTTGCGGTCTGTTTTGGACTTAACTATCTTGAGTAGTTTTGTATCATCTGCAAATTTGCCACCTTATTGTTAACCTCTTTTTCCAG